GCCCAAAGTGCATATATTGTACAGTATGTACACTGTCACAAAAGAACTGTTATTTTTGTAATTACTTTTTTTTTTCTTAAAGTTTTTGGATTGCATTTTGTGCTTAGGGGACAAAAAACATTTGCCTGGGGACCCTGAATTTTACATATTATTATAATATTTTCACACTTTTTGCATCATTTGCAACCTGATTTGAAGTGATCGAGAATATACTGTATAAAATATTCTGATCACAAATTATATTTACCAATTTTTTTCACACATCCCATGTATCATCACTGTTACTTTTTTCCCTTGGTAAATTACACTGACATTTGAAAATACTTTTTGAAGAGCAGGATTCTTTATTGTAGTGAAAATGATATCATAACTGTGTGACAGTCATGTAAATCATTTTCACAAAAGGAATATTGAAATCATGTCTATTTTATTAATTTGAACCATTTTATAATGGATTTTCAAATTTTCAGATGAGGGTAAAACAATAATATCTATGCAGGTATTTGAAAAGTAGATGAATGTTTAGTAAAATGTTACTTAGACTTAATGTGAACATAATTTCGGGACATGCACTGTAAGGGTAGAGATTTACTAAAACTGACAGTTCTTCTGAATGTTTTTACAGCAGATTTGAAAAACAAGAGTCCCACAATCACACATATACATATTCATTGTCTTCTCTACAGCAATGTCTACCTACAGTATGTAAAATAGCGTTCAGGGATTAATCTGTTTCCAAGGTTTTCAATCCTTGGGGCCTTGGGGAAAGGTATTGCAGGGGGTCATTGGACAGATATATAAAACATATTATTTATACATACAGATCAGAACATAAATGAAGCTGACACTTGTATATAAACTGCCACACCCCTGTGGACTGTTGATTGTGGTTTCTCCCTCTGTGTCCATATTTGGTTATTCCTGTTCTCATTATTAGTTAATCACCTCATTGTGCTCACCTGTCTGCCCTCGTTATCTGCCCTATATCAGTTCCTGTCGATTGTGTTCTAGTTTGTCAGTTATTGTGAATGTTACCCGGTGCGTGTGTTCCTATCCTGTCTGGATATTACTCCTCTGTGGATTATTAAAGACTGTATATTGTTATCTTCTTCGTCTTCGTCGTTCTGCCTGATCACACACCACACTGTCTCGTGACATAAACCAGTAGATTCCTTTTAAAAATGTGAAGAAACTATACTGGGGAGTAGAACTGGCACTTTATTCCCTAAAACAGTTGTGTATTCAGTCTTTGTGACTCAGAGACATGAGCACACTGGAAAACAGGAAAGATGAAAGACAGGAAGTGTGGGTCTTAGCCTGGAACTGAAAGTTAACACCATCCCTTACCTCTAACAGCTTTAATTACTGACTGGAAAAGTAGGTGTGGTAATATTTGTTGGTTTCATTAATGCCAATTCTGTCACAATCTGGCATCATCAGTTACTTGACTTACTGATGAATTAACAACCTGAAGACATTAATTCTCGTAATATGTTTTTTTTCCGACACTGTCGTGAAAAAGACTCCTGTGTGACAATATAATTGTGTTATGTAACTTAATATATCTATTTTGGGATGGACTGGAACATCTCATGGCTGATGCATTCATTTGCTCATAGCAATCTGATTGCTAACTAATCTTTATTTTTCTTGGTAAATAAGAGAGTTAGCTATGCTCTGGAGGCTCTTCGGGACTCTGAAAGATTCCAATGACTTCCAGATTTGCAATGGAAAAAGTTCCTACGTTTTGGAAACAAACACTTGTCAGAGTTGTAGCCTAGCAGTTAGCATATGTGCTCAGACACATAAAGAAATAGTTTTGGTCATCATTTACTCACCCTCATGTGATAAACTCGTACTAGATTTTTCTTCTACAAAACGAGATGCTTTGAAGGATGTCCAAGCAGTTCTTTCCATATAACAAAAGCATATTGTATCAAGCTTCACATTGGTGTCATAAAAGCAGTCCATATGACTTGTCTGTATTCCAAGCATTTTAAAGCAATGCAATAACTTTGTTTGAGAGATAGAACAGAGACAGAAGTCGCTGTTTATTTATAGAAAATCTTGCCCTTTGCTTTAGCTCTTGAATCTTATTTGCGTTTTCACATATTCAAATGGCATACAGGTGACACAAATTTGAAACTAGTATGTAACTTAATTTCACTTCCATTTCCTTACTTCTTTTAGTAATGTTTGTCCTCACTCTACTGCTATCAGGGGCATAAAAATGTTGACCCAAGCCCTGTGAATTTTAGTGATCAGGGATGTTGGAAAAATCATAAAACTTAGCTTCACTCATAAATAGTAACATTTGACATGACATATGCACATTGGATTTGCTGAAAGACAGAGATTGGTAAATAAGCTTGGTTATCCTTTGCACGCTCATTTCTACTTGATCCAGAATTTAATACTTAAAATGGGAAATAAAGCTCTTGAAATACGATTTTGTCTCAAAATGTGGGGTGGGGGGTGAATGTAGATATAGATATTTTTGTTATATAGATATAATGATATGTCCCTGATGGTTATACTATAAAAATAAACAGGTCAAGATGACAATGCAAACATTTACAGACAAACTCCTACATAGAGTCCAACAGTCACCATTTGGCAATATGGGTCAGTAGGGTAATGATGGACACGCTGCACATTGCATGACATGGCTGCAGCTTATGACGCTATGAGTTGGTGTGTGCACATATGTGACCCAGTCTTCTCCCCTCTGACTGCCTAAATGGTAGAGTGATGAGTGAAAGAGAGGAGAAGGAGGAGCAGAAGAGGAGGAGCAGTCAAGCCAGCTGGAGCACTGGAGAGTTTGCATACCTTTTATGTTACCAGCCCTACTGACTCTTTCTTCTGGACTGATTCCAGTACTCCCTCCAGCCCTCTATCTCCGACTTCCTCTCGCTCTCTCCCTTCCTCCCCACCCCCATAACTGAAATATTCTCCTAAAGGATTGAAAAGGATTGAGTCATCCATTCTGTCCGGTTTCCTGTGGTCACAGAAAGTTAATTTTAGCAGGGGCGGCCAAGCAGATATGCATGCAAGTGTCAAAACCGAGAGAGATGAAGCCTTGAGATGAAACTCTGCGTCCATTAAAGAGAAAAACTCAATTCACTTCCACAGAAATGGGTGGGTGTAGCCTCATTGTGTCCGTCTTCTGTTGAATTAGCTGTCTGAAAGTTTGCGTCTGACTTCTTTCCTTGTTTGCGCGTGTGTTTAGGTTTGTGTGTGAGTGTGTGTGTGTGTGTGAGAATTCAGGGGTCACCAATGAAACCGCTGGGGTTTGCTTTTCGGTTTTTTTCTCTGCTTTAGTGGAGGAATGTTGGCATAAAGTTTGGCTGGGGGGAAGGCAGTGAGCGGCGTCTCAAGTGCTGGCATTTGTTTCATTTCAGCTGTAATGAGTCTTGTCCTGTCGTGAGAGAAATTTCTGGCTTCAAACTAACAACTTCAAAGCTGGGCTTTTGAAAGTAAGAAAACCTTCAACAAGTCCTCACATGAAACTCGTTCAAGACTCTGGAAATGAAAGTTTAGACAGCCGAGAAGCTTTGTCTGTCCGGTCCTATCGGCATCTCTACTTCAGAGGAAACAAACGAGCTGCTAAAAACGAGCTGTTCTCATTTCAAGAGCGAAAAGAAACTGAAGCTATGCAGAGGGGGGAAAGAAAAGTTAAGGCTGTGCGTGTGTATGACTGCGCGTCTGTGTATGTGCGTCTGTCGATGTGTGTGCGTGTTTGAGGGGTGTGTGCAACTGTGTCTGTGTGGGAATGATTACATCAGCTTGAGCTAGCCCTATGATTGGTTAGGGAAGTGTGGTTTGATTCACTACCTAAAAGCCTGTGGCTGTAACCCTTTGTGAGGGGAACAGAGGCAAGTTGTCTGCCAAGCTGGAAACAGTGCCATCTGCATGCTCTGTCCTGTGCCAAAGCTAAACAGAGAGAGAGAGAGAAAGAGAAGGAGGGAGATTGTGACAGGTAGGATATGCTGAGCCACTGACAGGAAGAAGCATCTGCAAAGTATCGGAACTGCTTTTTTCCTTTTTTTGGTCCTTTTTTTGGTCCTTTTTTTCTCTCTTGTGGAGTTGTGGAGACATTCGGGGATCTGGTTCGTCTCTCAGAGTGTGAAGGAGGACACAGGCTGCTGGGGAAAATGCCATCGTGTTCTCCTGATTGTTGCCTTCTCAGGCCTGGGGAGGTAAGATTTCTCCTCAGCCCAAATCTACAGCTCCTCCTGGCTACTTCAGAATCCCTCTCCCTCTAGGCGACTAGAAGAGTCTGGGGAGTTGGTGTCCGTCTGTAGAGGGGGGGAAAATAGAACCTGTAGAATGAAACTGAAAATCTAAAATAGAGCGTGACGGGAACGGTTACATCCACGGTTTGACTGAATGATAGAATTCGTCTGAGTAAATGCCGTGGAAAAGCTGTAAAGGTTGGCGGAACGGATTTCTAAACGTATGTGTTGTGGGCTGAAGTGTGCTGGGTGAGAGAACGTATGAAAGATCTCAGAACGTGTTAGCGATGTTGCAAATAGGAATAGAGAATTTTCGAGAAAACCTAGTATGTGTGTGATGAAGGGGACACAATGGCACGGGACTCGTTTAGTGTGGAGCACCAAACTATTTCAAAATAAACCTATTTTTAGCTTCTCCTACTCATATTAGTAAGGATGTAGTCTAGACATGGAATTTGGATGTGAAAAGACCTGGATTTGAGCATTAATGGCTTTACACTCTGGGTCAAAACCTTTGAAGAGTTACATATATTCTTTTTTTTTGTATAAAGATATCGTAAGGTCACATAAACTGCTGTTGTGTTTCACTATTTAATGTTTATTTTATTTCCGCCGGGGCCCTAGAAAATAAAATTGTCCTGTGACGCAGTAAAATTTCCCAGTATGTAAATGTGTTTTTCCATGCAAGAAATTTGTTACTGTTGTTTCAATTTAATCTCAACATCATATCTAAGATATCTGATTTTTTTTTTTCATGTATTTCAGATCATAAAAATCTTCAGCGAGGATGGGATGGGAAAGGTGGTGGAGATCCCAGCCGACATGACGGCGCGAGACCTGTGCCAGTTTCTTGTCTATAAAAACCATTGTGTGGACGATAACAGTTGGGCGCTTGTGGAGCATCATCCAGCCCTGGGACTCGGTAACTGACTTGCTAGTTTTCTAGGCTAGAGGGGAGCGAGTGAATTTATAGAGCTGTTTTAAAGTGTCTGTGTGTGCGTCGACCACTTTAGATGCAGTAATTACAGGGTCTTTTGTGCTAGAGTTGAAATTAATGATGACCATGTAAGAGAAGAAGACAGACTTCCTTGATTCATCCTTTTATGTCCTCGGGCTGAGGGTAATTGATTAACGGTCGCCGGGGGAAATCCCATCTCACGGAGAGACATAACAGGAAGTTAAGTTCCCCAAGAGTTGAACTGGTACTGGTTCTGGTATTTTAGAGTCGAGATATTCATGTGTTTTGTGCTTCAGGACACAATTTATAAGGTGATCCAATATAGCACCAAAGCTGTTTATGATCCAAGATTCAACTACCAGAAAAATAAAAGTTTATATGCATTTGAATCCATAGGTAAATTAGTTTAAATGATATTTCCTTTTACCTGCATAGTTCTGTTCATTTTTTTTTGTCAGAATGTGAGCATGACACCCTATGCATGTTGATATCTGCCTAATTTGGCTAGATTTTAGAAGATGACAGATGAATTTGTCTAAATACCATATTCTTTGATTGGTCACACAACTTTGGGAAGTGTTTTTGGTAACACTTTAGAATAGGGAACACTTATTAACTATTAACTACGACTTTTCCCTCAATAAATTCCTAATTTGCTGCTTATTAATAGTTAGTAAGGTAGTTGTTAAGTTTAGGTATTGGGTAGGATTAGTGATGTAGAATAAGGTCATATAATTTTTTTTTTTTTTTAAGTAGGTAGGTACATTGTAAGCTATTAATAAAATGTAGCTAACTACATTTCAGATATTAAAGGGGATAATGGAAATATATTGTTTCACATATATAAGTATCAGATTATTTTAATCAACAATTAATCTTGTAATCGTGTCTACTCATAATTTAATGTGGTTAACCTACAGTCAAGTTAATATTTTTAAAAATGTAGGTAGCTACATTATAAGCTATTAATAAAATGTAGCTAACTACGTTTCAGATATTAAAGGGGATAATGGAAATATATTGTTTTACATGTAAGCATCAGATTATTTTAATCAACAATTAATCATGTAATCGTGTTTATCTGCCACAAAAGCAATGAGAATCTCGATGACTGTATTAAGTTGTTCAGAAACTAAACACTAAATGCAAGTAATAAAAATAAAAAATCACTTTAGTTTCTATATCTGATGAAAACATGGTGAACAGCATCATAAACTAAACAAACATATAAAAAATACCTCACAGAGATTTCTGTTCAGATAAATCAGTATGGTCAGTTAGTGTATTGCTTTTTTTAACCAATTTATATGCATACTAATAAGCAACTAGTTAAGAGACCCTAAAATAAAGTTTTACCGTGTTTTTTGTAACTTAAAAGTTCATAAGCCTCCTGATTTTGCCATCCTAACTATGTAGAGTTATATAATTATTTGCATTTTATTGTTTGTAATTAGAATTGTTATAGTGCTTTAGCTCGTACCGCTTTAAACTCAAACATGGTCAGTGGGTTTTTTGACGTTGACGGTTGCTGTCAGAGTGCACATGTTGTGGGCAAATCTCTAGGCTAACGCATGCTGTGTATTAATTGGTTACCTCAAATAACCTGTGGCGTGAACGTGAGGCTTGCTAGTAGAACTGAAATCAGCCCAGGGCAACGAGTCATACAGGAAGTTCAGCCACCCGAGTACGTGGTCTGGACAGGATTTCGTTTTCCATTACAACTATTTGCTTTGTTTGGCAAACAAACCATTTTATTTTTATTTTTTTTAACAGACATCCTGCTTTCTTTCTCTGTATCATCATTCTTTCGTCGTTCTTTCAATGTTCTATTTTACTTTCAGTTTCCAAGTGAGTGTTTGAGATCCAACAGATGATTAGGAAATTTGGGGAAATGTTGGGGAATTTTGAAACTGTAGCTGCCAAAAGCTATAAGTCTACTCATAATTTAATGGGGTTAACCTAGTCAAGTTAA